GTGTGTGTGTGTGTGTGTGTGTGTGTGTGTGTGTGTGTGTGTGTGTGTGTGTGTGTGTGTGTGTGTGTGTGTGTGTGTGGCCGCTGGTGATGGCAGCTCCTGTCCTTCAGCTACATCTCTTATCTAAACTTCAAAACACGCACCTCCCTCCCTCCTCCTCCTCTTTTTACAGAAAGAAGCCCATATAATTAAAAGTTCAATACGGGGATGCCCCTGTTATGGGTGTTTGAATTTATTATAGGAGTGCACACACACACACACACACACACAATGACCCACTGCCTCACAACACGACTGAAGGACAGAGTGGTGACAGTGAGCGAGTCCATCAGGTACGCTGTCATTGCTCCAAGGTCAGCTACCACTCTCCGGTCCCTCGATCTCCTCTCCAGTGTGTGAATGTGTGTTTATCGCCTTAATTTAACCGAAGAACACAACAAAGTAGGCAGGGCAGACTCGTTGACACGGGAGGCTCCTAATGATGTTGTGCACACATGGCTCTCCGCGACGTTGTTTCCCTAACTTGTTTTTTGTCGTGTTGTAAAGCGTGTTTCGGCTCTTTAGGCTTCGGTTCTGAATTTTAGCACAGCGATGTGTGTGATGATGTGATGTTTAATTGAGCAAAACTGTCAGGAATCACACAAGAGAAAGGACTTTGCTGAAAGCCTGTGTTGCATCAGAAAACAGGGCTTTGAATCGGCATCAGCAGACTGCTGTCGTGTGAAATCTGTGGCGCCCTGCAGCCCTCAATTGCATCTTTCATTGGCTCGCTTTGCCTCTTACTCTACGCTCACCTTTTTTTCTTTTTTTTTTTGTTACGCTGCAACTTTTTCCCTAAAACTCATCCTGTTGTGTTTATCTCTCGTGTTCTTCTTGTCACTCTGTCTCGCTGCCTTTCTGTTTTTCAGCCGTCCTACTGTGAGAAACCATTACAGACCAACTCTCCTCTCTCTCTAATTGATTCCCTTTCTCTCTCTGTCTCTCTTCCCTTTTTTTCTGCCGTTCTCCTGCTGTGAGCAGTCCGTTACATTCATTTCAGTTTACAGAGCTTCACCATTTTCCCCACTTTCTTTCTCCCTTTTTTCCATCCATTTTTTTTTTCTAATTTCTTACTCCAGTGCCCTCCTTAACCCCCTCCCCTCCCGCCCAAATACCTTTGTACCCTCTGAACTCATTATACTCAGGGACAAGACTCGAACAGCGACGTGCACAAACCGCTCGCCCAGCCGAGCTCGCTCGGATCCCGAACTTCGGACTCAAAATGGACTTTCCCCGTCTTCATCGATTTGCGCGTTTCGTTATTCGTTCGCGATTTTATTTTTGTTTTTCAGTTAAGCGATTAAAAATCAGATTTGGTTAACGTTACCTCCTGCTCGTGTAAAATGGCGGCATGAGAGGAGAGGTGGGATGGTGGAACATTGTCTGTCTCTGCAGTGGGGCGTTATGCTGACTGAAGAACACACACACACACACATTTCCACCGCCATACACACACATTCACTTAACCATGGTTGTGCATGTACAGTTACACATGCGGCTTGTTTCTGACTGCAGTGCAGAGAGGGCACTCTTCTTGCAGTCACGCCACCATGGGCACCATTTTGTCGCGGGGGGCTCGCCATGACCATAATTGTGATGTTGACACAAACGAATGTCCGAACATTCGGCTTCTGCGCAAATGATGAGATTAAAGTCGGATCAAAACACACATATCAAACACACCCGGGCAAACACAAGGCATTTATGAGCAAATTTTATTTTCCACCTGCGCATTATGTGCGAGTTACATGTAACGCTAACTGTTAGTGTACCGTTGAGAAGTTTTACTCTTAAAATACAGGTTTTATTTTTTTAAAAACTACCATGAATAAGCTTTCCCATCCAAATGTCCACCTATATAAAGATATTAATATATTTTCATTGTACAATTTCAAGTTGAGAAGCAATTTTGTGGTCCTTGAAATGCGTTTAAATATTTTTATTGTACATATTTTAAATAAACAATTTTGAGAACATCTTCATGGAGCGCAGAAAGGCCGTTTAGATAGGAACTCTCTGCTACTTTTGTCTGTTTGGCTTTTGGGGGGGGGGGGGTTCCCGCTGTTTCTCACACACTTACACACACATACTCACACAAGCTCTGCACAAGGCCCAGACCTCTAATCCTTTGTTAACCCTTAGATGGTCACTGTTCGCACAGAAATAATGTAGTGACTTGTGTCAGCACAACAGTCACACAGGAAGAAACTGTGGGATATAGCGTTAGTTATCCTGGCATCATCGATACACATTGTGTGTGTGTGTGTGTGTGTGTGTGTGTGTGTGTGTGTGTGTGTGTGTGTG